ATTATTTCATTCCTTTTTATGTCTGAGTAATATTCCATTGTGTGTGTGTGTATATATATATATATATATATATATATATATATATATATATACATCTTCTGCCTGAATTTGAGGCCCTGTACAAGCAGGGAGAGAATGGTAAGGCAGCGTTATAAATTTAATGCCCAAATGGTGAAGGCATGCCTTAAAACACACACAAAGACTTTCAGCAAAAGCTGGGAGACTTACTGGATAAAATTGTTTAATAAAATCACTGTCCAATCATTAGCAGAACACTAAGCTAAGCTATCAAAGACTTCAGTGGCTTCACACAACAAAAAGTACAGACTTTAAGACAGATATAGTCCAGGAGGTCAAAAATAAAGAACAATAAGAATCACTTATAACAAACCCTGGGAGGGAGTCAGGATCTAATTTTCAGAGTTGTCACATTATATTTTTCTAAATGTACCCTTTCAAACAAGAAATTAGGAGACACACAGGGAATACTGCCCCATACTCAAGAAAAAAAACAGGTTATCAATAGAAACTATTCAGGAGGAAGCCCAGACATTGGACTTTAAAAAAAAAAAAGATTTTGAATTAGCTATTTTAAATATGTTCAAAGAATTAAACTAAACCATGCCTAATAACGAAAGGAGAGAATGAGAATGATGTGTCACCAAATAAAAAATAAAAATAGAGGGTTGGAGATATTTTTAAAAGAGCCAATTAAAACTTCTGTAGTTAAAAAGTACAAGAAGGGCTTCCCTGGTGGCGCAGTGGTTGAGAGTCTGCCTGCTGATGCGGGGGATGCAGGTTCATGCCCTGGTCCGGGAGGATCCCACATGCTGTGGAGTGGCTGGGCCCATGAGCCATGGCCACTGAGCCTGCACGTCCGGAACCTGTGCTCCACAACGGGAGAGGCCACAGCAGTGAGAGGCCCGCGTACCAAAATAAAAGAAAAAAAAAGTACAAGGAATCAATAGTAAAGATCAATAAAACTAAAAGCTGGTTCCTTGAGAAGATGAACAAAATTGATAAACCATTAGCTGCACTCATCAGGGTAAAATGGGAGAAGACTCAAATCAACAGAATTTGAAATGAGAAAGGAGAAGTAACAAGTGACACCACAGAAATACAAAGGATCATGAGAGATTACTACAAGCAACTATGTGCCAATAAAATGGACAACCTGGAAGAAATGGACAAATTCTTAGAAAAGCAAAACCTTCCAAGACTGAATCAGGAAGAAATTGAAAATACAAACAGATCACTCACAAGCACTAAAACTGAAACTGTGATTAAAAATCTTCCAACAAACAAAAGTGGAAGACCAGATGGCTTCACAGACAAATTCTATTACAAATTTAAAGAAGAGTTAATTCCCATCCTTCTCATACTCTTCCAAAATACAGGAAAGGGAGGACCACGCCAAAACTCATTCTATGAAGCCATCATCACACCAATACCGAAACCAGACAAAGACATCATGAAAAAAGAAAATTACAGGCCAATATCACTGATAAACATAGATGCAAAAATCCTCAACAAAATACTAACAAACAGAATCCAACAGCACATTAAAAGAATCATATACC